GAAGACGAGGGGAGAAGACGAGAAGGGAAGACGAGGAGAGAAGACGAGACGAGGAGAGAAGACGAGGAAAGAAGACGAGATGAGAATCAGTGAAGACGAGGAGAGAACACGAGGAGAGAAGACGAGGAAAGAAGACGAGATGAGAATCAGTGAAGACGAGGGGAGAAGACGAGAAGGGAAGACGAGAAAAGAAGACGAGATGAGAAGACAAGGAGAGAAGACGAGAAGAAGACGAGAGGGGAAGACGAGCAGAGAAGACGAGATGAGAAGACGAGGAGAGAAGACAAGGAGAGAAGACGAGGAGAGAATCAGTGAAGACGAGGAGAGAAGACGAGGAGAGAAGACGAGGAGATAAGACGAGGAGGAGAGAAGACGAGGGGAGAAGACGAGAAGGGAAGACGAGGACAGAAGACGAGGAGAGAATCAGTGAAGACGAGGGGAGAACACGAGGAGAGAAGGCGAGGAGAGAAGACGAGGGGAAAAGACGAGAAGGGAAAACGAGGAGAGAAGACGAGGAAAGAAGACGAGGAGGAGAGAAGACGAGGGGAGAAGAAGAGAAGGGAAGACGAGGAGATAAGACGAGGAGAGAAGACGAGGGGAGAAGACGAGAAGGAAACGAAAGATAACGAGTGAAGAACGAGGGGAGAAGAGGGGAGAAGACGAGGAGACCATTTCCGGCTCCCAGCGCTAGAGAGAAGACGAGGAGAGAAGACGAGGGGAGAAGACGAGGAGAGAAGACGAGGAGAGAATCAGTGAAGACGAGGAGAGAACACGAGGAGAGAAGACGAGGAGAGAAGACAAGGGGAGACGAGAAGGGAAGACGAGGAGAGAAGACGAGATGAGAAGACGAGCAGAGAAGACGAGGAGAGAAGACGAGGAAAGAAGACGAGGAGAGAAGACGAGGAGAGAAGACGAGGAGAGAAGACCAGGAGATAAGACGAGGAGGAGAGACGAAAGGAAGAGCGAGGAGAATGACGAGATGAAAGACACAGAGAAGACGAGGAGAGAAGACCAGGAGATAAGACGAGGAGGAGAGAAGACGAGGGGAGAAGACGAGAAGGGAAGACGAGGGCAGAAGACGAGGAGAGAAGACGAGGAGAGAATCAGTGAAGACGAGGAGAGAACACGAGAAGAGAAGAGGAGGAGAGAAGACGAGGGGAGAAGCCGAGGAGAGAAGAGTTCGCCTGCTAATGACTTCTCAGCGGCTCAGTCCAACAGGAGCTGCACGGCGGGGTGCCTGCAGATGCCATTGTCTCTTCCTTGTTAGGAGAGATCACGTCTTCAACGTTCCCTCGAGAATCGGTGTAGGCGTTAAGCATCACAGCGTTTGCAGTGCTTGTCAGCGCCGCAGCATGCAGCCATGGCCTAAGCGCTTGCCAGGGACTGGTCGGCCGGTCAGGGTGCCGACAGGTGAGACGAGGAGAGAAGACAAGGAAAGAAGAAGAGGAGAGAAGACGAGGAGATAAGAAGGAGATAAGACGAGGAGAGAAAACGAGGAGAGAATCAGTGAGGACGAGGAGAGAAGACGAGGAGATAAGACGAGGAGAGAAGACGAGGAGAGAATCAGTGAAGACTAGGAGAGAACACGAGGAGAGAAGACGAGGAGAGAAGACGAGAAGGGAAGACGAGAAGGGAAGACGAGGAGAGAAGACGAGATGAGAAGACGAGGACAGAAGACGAGGAGAGAAGACGAGGAGATAATCAGGGAAGACGAGGGGAAAACAGGAGAGAAGACGAGGAGACCATTTCCGGCTCCAGCTGCTAGAGTAGGCAGTTCGCGAGGAAAAAGGCCCGACCTGTTCCGGCAAGATATGATTTCCAGACACTCCATTCTGGTACTGTGCAACCAGGTGTTATTTCTGCGGACGCACCTGCTGGGGAGGTGGCAGTTCTATCGCCAGGAGCGTAAAGAGCGAGACCATAGGATCAGGGAACCCCGGATGCTGGTGATAGAGTCATAGAGGGGAACGGTGTTAGCCGGACCCTGGAGTAACGTGCGTGGTGTTTTACTTCCTTGCGTTACAGTTTCCTTTTTCCGCGTTGATATGACATTTCCAGATTTGAGTGGATTTTTTGAACTGAGTGCCTTCAGGCCATCGGCCAGTGGTGCAGCGCATTTTCCCATCCTTGCGTTGCTCAAGGGTTACCAGCCATATTGTAAGGGTGGGTTCTGTGGAGGTAAGCGTGTGTGCCGGTTTGGCGCTTGTTTTGAAAAAGGCAGACCCCGAGTATTTGTTGTGGCAGTTTGCAATTTTTGCTCTTAAGCGGGTGCCGAGTGAAGTGGTTTCTGCGTGCGGTTGAGTGTTCGCCTGCTAATGACTTCTCAGCGGCTCAGTCCAACAGGAGCTGCACGGCGGGGTGCCTGCAGATGCTATTTTCATTGGCTTGCCTTTCTCACTCAAAGATTGTAGGAGAGATCACGTCTTCAGCGTTCCCTCGAGACTCGGTGTAGGCGTTAAGCATCACAGCGTTTGCAGTGCTTGTCAGCGCCTGCCGCAGCATGCAGCCATGGCCTAAGCGCTTGCCAGGGACTGGTCGGCCGGTCAGGGTGCCGACAGGTGAAGCCTTGCCATCCGCGTCCTCTGCGGCAGTCCAGCGGGCCACTGTGCGCGCAGAAGCGACAGCCAAGAGCCGCAGCAGAAAGAGAAAGGCCGCTGCGGCGGCGCCAGACAGTTCAAAGTCGCAGGCGACGAAGAGGGTACGTTCGAGTTTTGGCTCTCGAGATGCTGCTCTCGACGTCGGTGCGGTGGCGCAAAGGCTCGCAGCGGGCCGCTCAAGCCACAACTACGTGCTTCTACTCCAGACCTCTTTGCTCAGTGCGATCTCGACGGAGCAGTTGACTTCTCTGCCTGCCGTCCGTGGTTTGACAGCAACATGGCAAGGGCAGGATGTCCTGGTGCTGGATTCTTTCATGGTGCGGGGTTGCCCAAGGAATGATGTGGCCATTCTTCGTCTTGCGGCCGCTGGGCAGTGGGTGCTCGGAGATGTCGTAACGTGTAGGTCAGCAGAGTTGTCCAGTGTGCGCTTGCAGCACGAGGTTGTAGAGGTGGCGCGGGGCCGCGTGGTCGTGAAAGAGTTCTGCGATGCTGCCGATCCTGCCCAAGCAGTGCACCGCGCCAGGGCCAAGGCCGCTGAGGCTGCGTCTGTTTCTGAAAGCAGGACGCTTAGCTGGATGTCAGCGCAGTCGCAGCCGCTCGCTCGAAGATCGCTGAAGCCAGCAGCTGCAGAGCTGCATGAAAAACGCTTTCCGGGTCACCGGGTGCTGCCTCGCGCAGACCGTCAGCGCTTTGAGTTTACACTAGATGTGCCTTGCCCCCAAATTTGGGATATGACCCCGTGGCGGTGCCGCAGCTGCGACTCCGAGACTTGGCAGGTGACACCTGCCGACATGGATGCCGAGTGCTCTCGTTTGGGCCTAGGCGCAGTGATTCGCTGCGAGGATACTAGGCACGGCAAGGTGTCTGCCTCTCCCTTGCTTCTGTTTTGGCTGCTCTTCATGTTGTACAGCAACTTAAATTTGCATGCAGTGCGAAGGAAGCTACTGGATCTGTATTCAGCCTCCGTGCTGCATGCCGCCCAGATGACTCCGTCCCTTTCAGAAGCAGCGCAACTACGTTGGATTTTGATGTGCGTCCCAGACCACCATGCCATTAAGGATATATTGCTGAAGTGCTTTGAAGGTTACGTGCAAAAGAGAGTGGATCTGCGGCAGTGTGTCTAGAATGGGCAACTGATCCGTGGAGACGGTAACTATGATCTTGTGAAGGCTGTTGTCTCTATGGTTGATGGTAAGAGGACGCACAGGTACTCCGTTGCTTTGGGCTGGTGCGGGGTCGATGGCAGCTTGTTGGCGCCGGTGTCCTTGGCTGAAGCGGAGTCCTGGCCCTGCGTTGAGGCGTCCTTGGGCCCGCTGTTAAGGAAGATCAAGCGCGCCCGGCTGCAGGCCGGATTCAGCTTAGAAGAGTCTTTGCCGTGCTTCCATGCCACGGACTCGTATCACAAGCATCGGCAAAAGCTTTGCAAGCTCTACGGCCGTGTGTGGCAGGATCTGCGGGTAGAGGGACGGGCGCCCACCCGCTGCAAAGATGCTTATGGTAAGATTGCCGTTGCTTCCGAGGATGGTAGCCTTGCTAGGTGGCTGTTTCGTGTCACGGGGGAGCCCAGCACGATTTGTTTGCTCTGCGCCGCATTGCGTCCCCAGCCGCGAACGATTGCCGGTGCTTTCTGAAGGACCACGAAAGTGTGATTCTGAGGCTCAACGCTCCTCCTCGCCCTAGTCAGGCGGCATCTGGCGCCACGGCCGCAGACTTGGCCGTCACGCACGCAGCTCAGGAGTTATTGCGCGCGTGTGTGAAAGAATCGGCGGCAAAAGTGGCAGAGGCGGTGGCGAGTGCACCTGCAGAAGCGCAGGAGCTGCGTGCGCTGCTTGCTTGCGAGAACGGTCAGGACCACGAGGTTTGGCCCGCCCTTTTCAAAGCCGCTCCTCCGCATGGCGTGCTTGCGCGCACAGCGAGGCTGCTGGGGGCAACGCTGCCGGCCAAGCATGGGTACTACAATTATCAGAGCAAGGAAGACTTTCTCGATGAGGTTCGGCGCATGGAAGCGTGGTATCGGGAACCTAGGAGGGACGCTAGACGAAGACGTGGCATTGATCGAAGGCAAGTTCCATCCGCGGAAGTGAAAGGGAGAGCGAAAGTGTGGACTGCAAAGGTTGCAGCTCATTATTCGCGCCTCCGCGCGCCTGTCAGGCTGCAAGGCCTCATGCGGGAAGCTGCTTTAGCGCTGCACGCAGCAGGCATTGAGTCGCACTCTGGGACAATCCCTGTTGAGCGGCTGTGGGCGAACATCGGCAGGTTCATTCCAAAGGAAGCAACGAACATCAGTGAGGCTTGGTGGTCTTTCCTATCCAACCTGGCATTCTTGCGATTCAATTACCGCCACTTCCACAAACATGGATTGCCCGGCTGGGCCCGGGAAGACACGCTGGTGCACGAACAGGTAGAAGGCGTCATGAAGTTGGCGGAGGCAGTCTTGTTCGGAGGCGAGGAGTCGTTGGCCGTGGAGCTGGGCGCTTGGGCAACTAGCATGGGCTGCGGTCAGCCAAGTCTAGCGTCTTCAGGGCAAGATGATGTGGAGGCGGAAGCCGCGAGCACGCCAGACTTGTACTGCCGAGTGCTAAAGCCAATGTGGTGCCGCGCCTTGGCGAGCGGAGAAAAGATGTTTGAGGCCCAGAGCTACAGGGAGAAAAAAGGCAACGCCATGAAATTCGCCAAAGCTGGAGTGTGGGTTTTGTTTGGAGAAAGCGGCTCGGAGCAAGTGGCTGGGGCTGCTGTGCTGGCAGGCCCAGCAATGCGAAATATCAAGCTCGCCGAGATCCAGGGCCGTGTGGGCTCTTTGCCTCAGCACTTGCAGGCCCCTTTCTCCGAGTACATAGCAGGGGCAGTTAAGGTTGATTTGGTTGACGTGCAGATCGTCTATGACCTGAGGCCTCTATCTTTGAGCTGGGGGCAAGTAGCCGCCATGTTGAAATGCAAAGTGTCCCGCAACATCGGTTTCACCAGAGTGAGATGCCAGGATGAAGCAGCTTGGCAGCGGTTCCGCGAACTCGTGGCAGACGAGAGGGTCCCGATTCGGGAGGGCCCGCCGCGCGCGTAAGCTTCGCGGCCCGTGGTGCAAAAGAAAGCGGCCAAGTTGCAAGCCCGGGATGCTGAATGCTCAAGGGTTTCCACAAGGCTACCATTTTCTTGCAGCGCCTCTTGTGAGTTTCGCAAGGCACCTTGTTGCACAGAGGCTGCTTTGCTTTGCTTGCGTTTAGGGCAAGAAAGCGGGCTGCTGCATGATGCCCTGGGCATGGAGTTGACATTGCGTCCCAGCTCGTGGCTCCTAGGCTGAAGTGGTACGACCGACCAACGCGATCGCACGGCAAGTGCCTGCGAATACTCAGCAATGCTCGAGAGCCCCGAGGAAAACACACCGAAAACGCCGCAGCCTGTGCCTCGTGAGACCGAGTCGCCAAGTGGTACGAGCGACCAACGCGATCGCACGGCAAGTGCCTGCGAATACTCAGCAAGGCACGAGAACCCCGAGGAAAACACACCAAGAACGCCGCAACCTCTACCCCGTGAGACCGAGTCGCCCGACGCATTCTCTTCGCAGCGCTCGCCTGGCGCGCCCAAGATGGAGGATCAGCATTTTGGGCTCAGATTCCAAGATTCTGCAGCAGCTGGCGCGAAGTGGATTGCTGCAAACCAGCACGCTGATCACATGCAAAACCTTCTCAACAGCCTGGGGGTGGCCAATGATGAGTTAGCCGCGCGCAAGCTCCTCTTCTCGGACAACTTTGCTACCGGGATGGGTACAGCCAAAGACACGGCTTCTACCGTTAAGGACTGGCTGCGCATGGTGGCAGACGAAGAGCGTGGTCACAGAGTTGTCAGTTCTGACATATCCTTCGACCTGAGGCGCTGCCTGCCCGCGCCTTTCATGCAAGCAGTGAAGAGCCTTAGCGAAGGGAACGGCTTGCACGACGAAGCCTTGGCCTGGTGCTTCTATGCTAACATAGCATTTCTAGAGCACCATGGCCGACGTGTTGGCCACAAGTCAGGAGAGCACACTGAGGCGCCCAACATCCCAGTGCTAGTGGGAGGTCCCCCGTCTTCAAGGAAGACTTGCTTGATAGCCATGACGACCGACTTCATGTTGCAAGCGCCCGAAGCGCCCCAGTTGATGCAAAAGCGGGAGTGCATCATCGCTGATGCCACCGTCGCTGGCATCCGCTCAGCAATCTTCAATTACAACAGAGCTGCGGTTGTCGCAGATGAGGCTTCCAACGTCTACGAAACTCCTTGGTCAGAGAAGGGGTCTGGGGGAATCCATTATTTGAGCAAGGCGAAAATGAACACCTATGTTCTCAGTGAAGCCGATGACCAAGCCACAGGGCGAGGGCAAGTGCATTTGGGGTCCACACATCACCCATATCTCTTTCTTCACAAGGTGGCAGGCCAAACCGAGATCATCGAGTTCATTGCGCAGCCTGTTGCGCACGGCTTCAACAAGCGCTTCAACCTTGTCTTTGCGCCAGAAAGGTCCCCGGAGTCGGCTGAAGTCCACACTGCTAGCGCGAAGGCCTTCTTCACACAGCTACACACTTGGCTGTACAAGAATGCTTGGGGCACGGAAGGCAACCACTACTTGGACGGCTACGCGTTGACCTGCTACCAGAGTGTCAAGCAGGCAGTGGAAGACTTTATGGAAGAGAGAGGCAGCCAGCTTACCAAGGATGCGTGTCGCAAAGTCCGGTTCTGGTCCACCGACGTGCTACGCCTTGCCCATGCAAACATGCGGATTTGTCAGTTCTCAGTGGTAGAGTACGGGGGCAAAGACGTGGCTCGAACAGAGGCAGCCAGAACCCAGCCAAACGTCTATGAGTTCATTTTGGCGGTGAACATGTGGCTCCGGCAGCTGCATGTACACTTCAGCTTCTACAAGTGGTTCCGGCACATGTCAGATCAGGCCGGGCGGCTCTACTAAGGATCTCACTGCTGCCATGGAAAGAGCTGACGACGGTGAAGAGCGCAGCCGACTCAAGGCTAACTTGTCGGCCGAAGATCGCCTGAGGCACGAGATTTTGGTGCACGAAAAGGCCGCGGTTGGTGCAAAGATTGCCAGTGACCAAGTCAGGCTGTGGCTCCGCAACCAAATCTGGTTCAAGAAGCAGCGCGTCACAGCCGACCAGATCAAAACTGCCCTGGCAGATTTGCACAAAGCTGGCTTGATGGATTCTGACAGCTCCCCTGAGGCGGACACACAGTCTCCACTTGCCAATGTTGCGGAGGCAAAGCGCAAAACTAAGAAAGGCATCAAGCCGGTGGTGTACATTAAAGAAGTCTGCTCGGGAGATTGGAGGCAATGCAGATGCAGAAGCAGCCCGCACGCGGCTCCTGGTTCCCATCAAGTACTTCTGAGGGATGCTTGAAGCAGGCGCACGCTTCCGGGCCGGAAGGGTATGGCCGATCGGCCTCGAAGGACGCGGCAGTGTGTATAAGAGGTCAAAAGCAAGGCGGCGCTTCACGCGAGACAGAAAACAGACAGACAGGCAGGCAGACAGACAGACAGACAGACAGGCAGACAGAGGGACTAGCGTTCTTTTCCCAATCAAGCAGCAAACCAGGGTGCTAGGTTGACTCGCGCGTTTGTGGCCCACTACAGACGCGCCAGAGCTGCCTTGCGCTTTGGCCGTGCTATGGCGTGCCTGATGACGCAACAAGTGCTGTTTTAAGACTTTCCACGTTGAGCATGCCAGGGCCTGGGCAGCGGCCCGCCGCCGTGTGGAAGCGTGGACACTTGCCGACAGATCCGACAAGGAGCCTAGCGTGTGAGTGCGGGGGCACGGTGGCCGCCGCTGTTGCGAAAAGTCCTCAGGCGGCTGCTGTGCAGGATCTCCGTCTCCTGTCCCTTTTTCTGTTGAGGGCAGGTTCGGCTGCTTGCGAAAGAAGAGTCTTAAGATGAGACCGGGGAGCCAAAACAATGGGGTCGGCTTCAGGGCCCGCGCTGTGGGTTTGAATGCGGTTCGGCTGCGGATGACTTGTGACGCCTGCCATTTTGAGCTCTGGGCTGCGAGCAGCTGCCAAGCTGCCGCTGCGTGGTAGCTGTCCGCCATGTCGCTAGAGATAGATGACTGCTTTGCTGCTGGGATGGCTTCTTCTCTGCTCATGGGTTTGGAGACAACGGTTGCGCAGCCAGAGGACCGACAGCGCTGGAAAGAGACCGCGCTATGCAACTTGCGCGAGGTCACGGCAGAGTTCTTCGCGCTACGTGCTTTCCTGGGAGCAGACCAAAGCCAGGATGACCTGCACACGCTCACAATGGTCGCTGCGGCGCTGGCGTCGTGTTCTGTGTTTGAGCGCCGGGTGGTGGTGGCTGCTCGCCCAAATCTTGTACATGTGCGGTTGGCAGACCGGCCACAGAGCTTTGCAGATCAGGTTGTGGCTCGCTGGGGCACGCATTGGCGCAGTCAAGCTGAGCACTGGCGCGCAAAGCTCGCCGTTGCTGTGGAGCAGGTGCAGGCAAACCCGATGATTTTCGAAGCCACGCATGCTGCGCAAAGACTCTTCCGCCTTTTCCGCACAACGGCGGAAGACCTTCTGATTTCCCTCGAAGGCTTGCTCGCAAGGCCGGGCCCATCCACTGAGGGCGCAGTGGCGCGCTGAAGCTGCGACCCCTCCTGGTTTTCGAGTACTTCTGAGGGATGCTTGAGGCAGTAGGCGCGCGTTTCGCAACCCAGAGCCGGACAATTGAGCGGATATGGCATCGTATAAGACGCAGGCCAAAAGCAAGGTTTTGCTTTACGAGTGCGTGCGAGCCAGGCAGGCAGGCAAATTCGCCAGAGAAAAGGGAGAGAAGCCGGCAACAGAGGCTACGCCAGGAGGCGCTGCGATAGATGGGCGGTAGATAGATGCGAGCTGTACTTTCTTCACCAACTCAAGCCACCTTGGTGTCAAATGCGATGGATGACCTTGCGGACCACTTTGTAGTCAGGGTGCATGAGTGCGGCAAAAAACAATAGCCAGTCAGCTACGGGTGATGTTTTTGTAGTCTTAGCTCAAGGGACAGCCTAGGTATGTCTTGATGGCGCAGATGGAGCCTGTGACCGCTACCTTACTGCTCGGCCCAAGATTGGCGCACTCAGCTAGCGCCTGAGGTGTAAATAGGTGGTCGCGAGTGCTGTGTGAGCGTGTAAGCGTGTGAGCGTGTGTGCGTGCCTGACTGCGCACGTGCGTGCGTGTGTGCGTGCGTGCGTGCTGGGAAGGCCTTTGCCAGCCCTGGGTGGGGCAGGGGGCAGTCGAACCCCCCTCGGTCTTCGGAACCATTGCAACTTGAAGTTAGTCTTCGGGCAGGAAACCGTCGCAAAACCACCGACCGGTACCCCCAGGAAAGTCACAAACGGACCCCCCTAGGAAGGGGAAGGGGAATGTGTCGTAGAGTGTCCAACACGCCGTCTTGTAGTCGGCGGATAAAGAAATATAGACATAATGGGGGAAGAGGTTCAGATAGAAAAGAATATCAGCATAGATTTAGTTCGTTAAATCCAAATGCAGATCAAAATGCAACAGAGAAGTACAAATATTAGACCAATGATATACACGTAAATTTAAAATAGATATTGACATAATTTTCAGCCCATAAATATAAATGCAAATATGAGTTCACATATAAACAATCAGTACATAAAAATATATATATATATATTCATATATAGATACTATAAATTTAAATGCGCACATATTAATGTAAATTTAAATGAAACAACAAATAAAATTAACTGTGCATATATATGTGTATTGGCAATTATTTTATGTAAATATGATGTTTGATTTCTGCGGTTTCATTTCCGTACTAGTAAGTTGCTGCTTTGAACAATTTTCGGGCCCGGCTAGGGGGGAGGCCATTCGGACGAGGACCGACGCGGAAACCCCTGAGACTCAGAAAGTCGTGGCGGTCAAGGGTTTCAATAGTTTTTGCGTTTTGCGTGATGTTGTTTTGTCATTTAGTTGATCGAAATCCACTGGGGAGAATAATTGCTTCTCGCGCAAGCTTTTAGTCAAACATGCTTGATGATGACACGAGGGCCCGAACACACACTTGGGAGCCTTTGGCATATCTATATATATATATATATATATATGTGCCTCCGCGTGTCCTGCCGCTGGGTTGCATGCCCCGCACATTTACGTTTGTTTTTGTCCCCACACACATATATATATATATGTGTATGTATGTACATGCAAGCTTGTGCACTGAACATAGTTGGCAAGAAGCTACTGAATTCCAGTGCTGGCCGCGAAGCGTGGCGCCTTGCCACCAAGTCCAACATGGAGAAATTACGTACAGCAAAGCACCCAAAACAAAGAAATAAAACAGGAGCGAAGACCAGCGACCTGCTGATTTGCATGTGCGAAGCCGGGTGGGCTTACGGTGTCCGCATAAGCAGACATGACATTTTGGTGTACAAGTGCTTACCTCTGCCGCACTGTAGTCTCAAGCAGAGGCCCCCCTGTGACCGCACGGCGCTGAGCCTGCGGGAACTCGCACACACGCACCCACACGCACGAGCACACACACACACACACACGCGCAAACACGGATATGCAAAAGAAAACAAACTTGCAACGCGTGGTTTCACGGCCTGCAGCGACCTATATGGCATGAGCCATGGCCGACGATTGGTCCGACACCTCCGAGGACGTCGCCTTGGAGAGGGATCCCGTTTATGGAGTGATCTTTGATGTAGATCTTGCACGGCATGGCTGGCCTGTCGAAATTCCTCAGGCCATTCGGGTACCGGCGTCTGTCGCAATAGACACTGGCCACAGGAACTACTACGTCTCCATGTGGGTAGTTCCGGATGGCGCTGCGGGGTGGCCCGAACATCCTCAGCTCTGCCGCCAAGCAGCGCCTGGTTCTCGGCTGTACCGGTCCGCTTGGAGTGTTTTCCGGGCGCCAACGTTGCCCAATGACCTGCCCAGCACGCTCACTTGGTCGGACATCTTGGAAGATTCCAGGTTCGAGACCTTGAGAACTGAATTGCGCAAATGTGCGGAATGCGCATTGCAGTGCCTTGAGAACAATTTGGCCGAAGTTGACAGGTTGCCCGGCAACAAGGCCAACATCAAAAACAATTGGAGGCGGAAATGCAACGCCGTCATCGGCCAAACGCACGGGCTGAGCAGCGCCCGCTTGCGCTTGGATGAATGGACTCGGCACATCCCTGCCGGGCACAGCTACGCTGGCACAAGGATGACATGGCAAGAGTTCGTCGCGGCCTCTCCATTGTGCCCTCTGTTGACCCTGAAGCCGCAGCACGGTCAAGCTCTCACCGCCGCGCCAGGCCTTCTAAAGGCGGCAGTCTGGAGAGCTCTTCACTACAGCGCTGTATGGCAGATGATGGCTCAGCCTGTCCTGGGACACTTCGTCGGGGTTGTTGGTCACCCAAGCAAGCTTGGCCAGCCCGTGTGGGGAGACTTCCGAGAACTTCAGCGCGCAAAAGCTTCAACCCGCTACTGCGCCTTTTGGATGGCCAAGCTGGACAACCCTGCGCTGTGTCGGAACTATCGCGATCTCTGGCAGCCGGAGTTCCGCGCCAGCACCCAAGACCTTGAAGTTTTCTGGAATGCTGGGCGGCGCGTTGCTGGTCTGTCTGGTAGCGGGGATTACCGTAGTGTAACCCTGCACGTGGGCAACCAGGATCCCCTGCCCCCAGAGCTGCAGTTCCGAACCGGCGACCAGGTCTACCTGATCGCCTTTGCCTCCTTGCACCAGGTGGCATTCATACACGAGAGCTTGCAGAATGGGTTCCGGCGATGCGAATCGGCTGCTGGCCTGCAAGTGCCCTACACAGTGCTGCAGATCCTCGGCAAGTCGAGCGCAGAGTGCCCCAACGTCCTTGACGCCTTAGGCGGGGATTAAGCTTTGCAGTCTGTTAACTTGTGCCGTGTCAGTTGTCCCTTACACAGCCATGCTGCTGCAGGCGTTGCTGTGCCTGGGGGCTTGGATGAAGAGCAGCGCGCAGTGGCGCATGCCATACTGCGTGGTCCTGGTTGCCTACATTCAGCGTGGTCTCCTGCGGGCGGTGGCAAGTCCTATGTGCTCTCCGCACTTCTGGGACAATGGTCCCTGCGCAGCAGTGAGCAGGCGCTGTCTTTCTTCATCACTGGACGAAAGAAGCACCGTTCGACTGCCTTAGCCTCACTTCGCGGCTTTCTGCCAGAGAGCGAGGTGTGGATTGTGGAGGGCGCGGAAGAAGAGGCCAACGCTTCCTTGCACTTGCAAGCGCACGCGGCCGAGGCGGTGCGCTGTCGACTTGCAGCTGTGCTGGCTCGCATTGACAAGCTCGACGAGCGCATTGACTCGGTGGGCGCCGCAGAGGCAGCTGCGTTGCCGCTGCACGCCGAACGGGTGCAAACCCTTTTCGTGGACTACCTGTGGCGCAAGTACGAGGAGACATCGAAAGCGCTACGCGAGGTGAAGGTTGCGGTGCTCACCGCTGATATGGCGCGAAAATGCCTCTCGAACACGCCCAGCTGGCTGCGAGATCGACAGCTGGACGTGCTCGTCCATGACGAGATCGAGAACGCCGAGCTCCTGGAGGTGCTATCGCTCGGAATCCATTTCAAGAGTGTCATCACTGCGGGAGACAACCACCAACGATTGGAGAAGCCAAGGGCAAGGCCCCTTCTTCCAGCAAGTGATACCGACTGCGGCCCCTCAAATGAGTTCAACAACGCGCACCTGCCACCTTCCTATTGCGCGGTGTCTGACTTCCTGGAAGCCTGCGCGAACAACGTCCAAATCAAGTCAACGTGCCGTTTTGGCCGCGATGTCGCCCGTCTCCTCACGGCAGCTGAGCTTTACAAGGATGATGAACTGCGATGCCGTAGCGGACACGCTACAGCTGTGCACCTGATGGGCTTGGAAGGGTGCCTGTGGGAGACAACGCAGCAGCCTGCAGAGCCGGGGAGTGTAAGCTGCGTCTTCGGGCATTTCCTGTTCCAGACGTTTGCAGCGGTTGTCTTGGCCTGGCTGCACCAGGATCCTCGGCCTTAAAGCTGCTTAAGTGACGGTGTTGTTTGCAGTGCCTTACACGCATGTGCTGTGACCGAGGACAGTGACAGCACCATAGCCGTGCTCTTTCTGTACCGGGCCAGCGTCGACATCTTCGCCTGCTGGATGGAGCGGCTTTCAGAAGAGCACCGCGCGCGAGTAGTTGTCGGCACGCCTGATTCCGTGCAGGGAGACACGTACGACAAGGTGGTGGCTCTGTGCCTGCAGCGCCGCTTTCCTCACGAGACTTCGCCTGGAGGGCATTCCAAACATAAAGGGCGTCGGCTCGTGTGCTTGACTCGGGCCTCAAAGCACTTGGTCGTCTTTCTGGAACGCCTGACTTTGTCGCCTGAACGTCGGACAAGGAAGTTCCAGTCGCTGATCACAGACGTGCTTCGCGTGGATGAGGACTGTGCCACTTTGGCTTGCCACTTTTATGGGCGCCGTTATTGTTCAAAATGCTAAAATGCCTTGTTCAGGAGATGCTGGGCAAGGTCTTAGCCAGGCTGGGACTTGAGGACCCGGCGAACCTATGGCCCCTGGGCGGGTGGCCATGCGATCGGCGTGACCCGCAATGCGGGCATGAGGCAGCTTCGGACTTCATGAGCCGGCCTGATCTGTGGCTGCGGCGGTGGCGAAGCATGGACTGGCACTATGCGCCAAGAGCTGTGCCAGGACAAGGGTTCTTTTGTTTTTGTTCTGCCCCAAGCATCCTTCCGATCCGCAGGGGAGCCCGAAGGCGGGGGTGCAGCTGGCTTTGCTCGACCCCTGCTAGTGCCTCTTCTGCCACTGGTGTGCTACGGGCACCACGCTGTGTTCGTGCCAGTCAGCTTCGTGCTGCCAGGGGAGGCGGTGTCCTACGAGGAACATGGCCTGGCGGACATCATGCATGACCTCTGCTCCAAAACAGCGCAGAGCTGTGGCGACGTCGAGCACGTCACCCGGCACCACAAACTGCGGGCTGAGGATGTCGGCGGAGCCACGTATTACGCCCAGGCCTGCGCCAGCGTGCGCACGGCGCACATCCTCTTGGCCAACGGGCAGTTGGCGCTGAAGGTCTACCACGGATGTGGGACCGACCTTCAGAGGGGCGATGTGGCAAGCCTTGTGGTCTGCAGCAACAGGCTGGACATCCTGGCGCAATTTTTGCGCTGGCTGCTGGCCCTGTCTGACCAAGTAATTCATTTCGTGGCCCAGAGCAATACGTTCAGGGCGCACGAAAACTTGGGCGCGCTGATGCACCCCGCGCTTCAGTGGCAGCAGCTGGAGCCTGGCGTGCATGTAGCGCACGTGGTGCGATAGATCGCTCCCATGTACTGAAGTCCGCTGCAGATCTGATAAAACAAATGCCTTGCTCAGTTGCATTAGTCGGTTTCCGTGTTTGTTTCTCGTAGTTCAATCCATAACCGTAATGCGGTCTGGGCGATTGTTTTCATCACCCATCCCACCCGTGTGTCCAGTAAGTGGGGAGCGAATCGTCCCATTTTGTAAGCACACCCACTACTGGACACTAAAAAGACTGGGTTGGTTATGGATTGAACTACCTCTAGTTAAGGATCAGGGTAGTGGTTCCTATATAAGATATGCCTAACCCCGCCTCTGTAATTCGGTCTAGGTCGTTTTGTTAATAGCGACCTATCCTGACCGGGCAGTGGATGTGGTGGGAGCGAACGGGGCTCACATAAGCAAACCACCCATCCACTGCCGAAAAGTGAGGGTTGGAAGCGGGGTCTAGGCCAGGTTTTTGCCAGATGCTGCGGATAGAACAAGTCCGGTGCAGGTCTGATAAAACAAATGCCTTGAAGGTCTGTGCGCTTAAGCGGAGGTGAGCAGACCTCGCAGATAGTAAGAACCCACGCTCAAGTGCATCCGCCATGCAGTGTACACATGCTCGCAGATGGTAAAAGCCCACGCTCAATTGCATCCGCCATGCATCCATTTGATTTGGAGATTAGTGGGTTCTGGCGTTTGTTTCTCGTAGTTCAATCCATAACCGTAATGCGGTCTGGGCGATTGTTTTCATCACCCATCCCACCCGTGTGTCCAGTAAGTGGGGAGCGAATCGTCCCATTTTGTAAGCACACCCACTACTGGACACTAAAAAGACTGGGTTGGTTATGGATTGAACTACCTTTAGTTAAGGATTAGGGTAGTGGTTCCTATATAAGATATGCCTAACCCCGCCTCTGTAATTCGGTCTAGGTCGTTTCTTTGTTAATAGCGACTATCTGACCGGGCAGTGGATGTGAGTGGGTCGCGAACGGGGCTAACCTTAAGCAAACCACCCATCCACTGCCGAAAAAGCGGAGTGTTGGATGCGGGGTCTAGGCCAGGCTTTTTCTCACGTTTCAAACGTTACTCATGCCATTAGCCCGTGAGTGCTTTTCTTTTTAGGCACGTAACATAACAACAAATAAAATGTGATGCTGCGGATAGAACAAGTCCGGTGCAGATCTGATAAAACAAATGCCTTGAAGGTCTGTGCGCTTGAGCGGAGGTGAGCAGACCTCGCAGATAGTAAGAACCCACGCTCAAGTGCATCCGCCACGCAGTGCACACATGCTCGCAGATGGTAAAAGCCCACGCTCAATTGCATCCGCCATGCATCCATTTGATTTGGAGATTAGTGGGTTCTGGCGTTTGTTTCTCGTAGTTCAATCCATAACCGTAATGCGGCCTGGGCGATTGTTTTCATCACCCATCCCACCCGTGTGTCCAGTAAGTGGGGAGCGAATCGTCCCATTTTGTAAGCACACCCACTACTGGACACTAAAAAGACTGGGTTGGTTATGGATTGAACTACCTTTAGTTAAGGAGTAGGGTAGTGGTTCCTATATAAGATATGCTTCACCCCGCCTCCGTAATTCGGTCTAGGTCGTTTTGTTAATAGCGACCTATCCTGACCGGGCAGTGGATGTGGTGGGAGCGAACGGGGCTCACATAAGCAAACCACCCATCCACTACCGAAAAGTGAGGGTTGGAAGCGGGGTCTAGGCCCGTGAGTGCTTTTCTTTTTAGGCACGTAACATAACAACAAATAAAATGAAAGATACTGCGGATAGAACAAGCCCGGTGCAGATCTGATAAAACAAATGCCTTGAAGGTCTGCGCGCTTAAGCGGAGGTGAGCAGACCTCGCAGATGGTAAGAGCCCACGCTCAAGTGCATCCGCCATGCAGTGCACACATGCTCGCAGATGGTAAAAGCCCACGCTCAATTGCATCCGCCATGCATCCGTTTCATTTGGAGATTAGTGGGTTCTGGTGTTTGTTTCTCGTAGTTCAACCCATAACCGTAATGTGGTCTGGGCGATTGTTTTCATCACCCATCCCACCCGTGTGTCCAGTAAGTGGGGAGCGAATCGTCCCATTTTGTAAGCACACGGTCGCAGCGTTTACCCCTGCGCAACGTGGCAGCGTCGAGGCGTCGCCCCCCGCCACAGCGTCGCAGCGTCGCAGCGCCGCCGCCCTCGCCGCAGCGTCGCAGCGTCGCAGCGTCGCAGCGTCGCCCGCCTCACTGCGGCGTCGCGGCGTCGGCCCTCCTGCCGCAGCGTCGAAGCGTCGGAGCGTTGCAGCGTCGCCCCGCCTGCCGCAGCGTCGGAGCGTCGCAGCGTCGCAGCGTCGCCCTTCCTTCCGCAGCGTCGGAGCGTCGCAGCGTCGCAGCGTCGCCCCCCGCCCGAAGCGTCAGAGCGTCGCAGCGTCGGCTGCCGTACCGGCCCCCTTTCCCCCTGCACTGGTATTACAGCTGGAGGGTTCGGTGCATAGCGTCCCACGGGACGTCACCTTGCCGTCTCTTGACAGGTTATCAGCCGTAACGACAAGCTCTACACTGGACAGAGAGACAGCTGGTTTATTGCGGGTACAGGGACAATAAAGGACCGATAACCTACACAGTACAATGGCGTCTTCAGCGAGCCCAAGTACTGCAACTTTTGGGAACAGCAGCTCAGAGGGATCCAATGGATTGATGGCTCTTCCTGCGGTGATGGATATGATCGCAGATTCACAGGATGAACCTGGGAGCGGAGGTTCCGCGCTATTCAGCGACATATCCACTCCCACAAGATCATGGAAGCAGATCGATGTTCATCAGGAGTCGAAGCAAAGAGAATCCCCACCGAGAAGGTCATCATCTTCGCCTGCGACACCACGGACGTCGCAGAAAGGCGTGAGATCAACATCGAAGGGTGGGAGGTCAAAATCACCCACCAGTGCGGAGTTTCGCGCCGCGATTAAAGAAAAGAATAAGATGGAGGTGGAGATCGGGGAATATCAAAAGACACTTGATGAAATGTCGGCAGCAATGGCGAATCTTCATCAAGAAGACTATGGAAGCACCATCCGGATCCAAGAGCTGGAAAGACGATGCGAGATTGCCAGCAAGCAGTCGGGACATCTAGTGAGTCACCACCAACACCACATGGCTGAGGCATGGCGCAAATTTGAGGAGGAAGCCCAACAGATGCGCAAGGTGGAAATGAACGCATTTCAGTACGGGGAAAAGAAAGACATGGAGTCGAATATTATAATGCAACAGATGAGACAAGCTGAAGGAACTATCATGGAGCAGAAGCGGGAAATTGCAGTGATGAAATCCTACATGGCAAGCGAGAAGTCGGCCGCGCAGGAGTCAGCTATACGTGCAAATCAGATACACCGTGAAGCTTCACAGCAGATATCAGTTTATCAGCAACAAATCAGAGGCATCGAATCGTCTACATCTATCGAGAAGTTCAACGAGGAGGATATGGTCCAAAGTCTGAAATCACAGTTGGAACACGCACTTGTCAAGCGCCCCGAGACGTACTCTATGGAGGACTCCAGGGAACAGCTGATGGCGAGACTGAATGATGTTACAGTATTTGCGGAACAAGAATCAAAGAGAGCAGATTGCTTGCTTCGCGAGAAGGAAGAGATCGTCAAACAGTATGAATCCGACGTGTCGATGAAGGACCAGATGATTGCTGTCGAAGGTGGTCATCGTCAAGATGCGATCTTGGAGCTAGCCCAGGTCAAAGAAGCAAAGCAAGAAGAACGGTACACGATGGACGAGAAGTCGAAGGAGGCTGAGTACTGGAGATTGACAGCTAAGGGAGTGTACGATGAGTACCTTGAGGAGATGCATGAGCTTCAGGGACAACTGAAGGAAAGGGAGGCGACGCTCAAGCAAGAAGAGAGTTTTGTTCGCCAACTTGATGCTGACAACGAGGAACTACGTGCCCACAAGAAGCTGGAGACACAGGAAGCCTCCAGCAGCAAAGATGGACATCGTGAACGAGCAGTAGTGAAACGCGCTGAGGGAGGACCCCAAGCTAATTCAACTAGGGTAGACAAGAAGGTGGCTGGGTTAGTCCCGTCATCGTCTTCAAATATGACCCCTAATTCGTCGCTGATGCCAGGTTCGATTCTCTTTCCGTCTTTTGGTGATCCAATGATCGATGTACACCTATCCCAGATGCAAGGGGTTGTCGGACATGTCCCACAATCCACTACTGCGACTGGTGGCGGCGATGGAGGGGGAAACAACGGTACTACGCCCCCATTGGATTACGGTGGATTCTCGCCTAATGGGAATAGGCAGGGAGCAAGTCGACGTCAGTTGAGCCTCACTGGTGGTGGAGGAGGACCTCCGGATGACCCACCCGACGATGAGGACGAGGACGACGACGACGAAGAGGATGAAGAAGACGAGGAGGAAGAAGAGGAAGAAGATGACAATCGGACACGGAGGAGACGAAGAAGATCGAGAGATGATCGGGAGATCAAGAACGATAGACCGAGGATCTTGAGGAAAGAGGCTGAGAGGGTACCCATTCCGGCTTGGCCAAAGATCCACCAACTTGATAACTGGAAGATGCAACTGCTGATGAATGTCCTGAGCGCATGTGCAGATCCAGATACCGACACATGGACGAAATGGTTGGAACAGGCTCTTGGGTTGAACCCAGACCTGAATATGCTTAGCGATTCAGGTGGCGACAGATTTGCTACGATAGATATTAAGATGGCCATGGGCATGCAGAACATGTTAAAGCAAGCACCTGACGAAGCCAAAGACGTATACCTCGACGCTACGCGGCACTCGGAACTACGACATCAACAAGGGGTGATCGTGAAGGGACGAGAGTTGGTGGCATTGGTTATGCAATCATTCAGAACATCCGATAGAACGGATCTTGTCTACCACATCGAGCATCTATTCAACCTTGACTTTCCTGGAGACAAGAACTTGGTTATGTTCAGGAACAAATGGTACGATTTGCTGCTGAAGATGAGGAGCGAGGACAGACCCAGTAAATTGGCT